AATATAAAATCTAAACAGAACAACTACTACTAGTAAAATTGAAGCAATAATTCCAACAAACAAATGCACAGGACCAGACAGCTTCACTGATGCATTCTACCAAACATATAAAGAAGGCTTAATACCTATCCCTAGCAAACTATTGGGGTTAATATCCAAAATATATAAAAATTCATATACCCAAACAGCTAAAAAAAAAAAAACCAAACAATCCAATTTTAAAAAATGGGCAGAAAATCCAAATAGACATTTTTCCAAACAAAACATGCAGATGGCCAATAGGCACATGAAAAGATGCCCAATATTGCTAATCACCAGGAAAATGCAAATCAAAACCCTAATGAGCTATCATCACACACCTCTCAGAATGTCTATCATCAAGAAGACAAAAAATAACAAGTGTCAGCAAGACGGTGGAGAAAAAAGGATCCTTCTGTACTATTTGGGGAATGTTAACTCATGTAGCCAGTATAGAAAACAATATGGAAGTTCCTCAAAAACTCAAAAATAGAACTGCCATATGATTTAGCAATTCCACTTCTGGATATTTATCTGAAGAAAATGAAAAGACTAATTCAAAATGATATATGCACTGCTATGTTCAACTGAAGTGTCTACTGGTGAAATAATGGGTAAAGAAGACGTATTATGTATAGTAGTTGCTTCGTATCTGTGAGAGATATATTTCCATGACTCCCAGTGGATGCCTGAAGCCACAGTACTGAACCCTATATATACTTTTTTTCCTATGTGTACATACCTATGATAAACTTTAATTTACAGATTTGGTATAGAAAGAGATTACCAATAATAAATAGAATAATTTCAACAATATACTGTAATAAAAGTTATATGAATGTGGTCTCTTGTGATCTCTCAAAACATCTTATTGTACTATACTCACCCTTTTTCTTCTTGGAATGAGATGACACAATAAAATGCCTACATGATGAGATGAAGTAAGGTAAATGATGTAAGCATTGTGATGTAGCATTAGCTACTATTGAACTGACAATACCTCAGAAGGAAGATCACCTGCTTCTGGACCATGGTTGACCTCAGGTAACCAAATCCACAGAAAGCAAAACCGTAGATAAGCAGGGACCACTGTATATACAATGGAATACTACTCAGCCATAACAAGGAATGAAATCTAGCCATTTGCAACAGCATGGCTACACCCTAAGAATATTAGGCTAAGTAAAGTCAGACAGAGAAAGACAAATGCCACATGACTTCATTTATGTGTGAAATCAAAAAACAAAACAAATCAAAATTCAGATAGAACAGTGTTGGTTGCTAGTAGAGAGGAAGGAGGAGGTTGGTGTAATGAGTGAAGGGAGTGGGGAGATACAGATGTCCTATGGTGAAATGAATAGGTCCTGGGGATGTAGTATGCAGCTTGGTGACCATAGTCAATATTGTAGTACATATTTGAAGGTTGCTGGGAAAGTGCATCTTGGAGGTTCTCATCACAAGGAAAAAAAATTTTTTTGTAACTTTTTATAGAACTAGCCTTACTGTGGTAATCATTTCACAACTTATACATGTGTTAAATCATTATGCTGTACACCTGAAACTAATATAATGTATGTCGATTACACTTCAATCTAAAAAAATGGTCACTTCTTTATGCCTTAGCTCCTTTTAAATTTGAAATTCCTGTATTTCTTTCATTTAAATCCTGTACAGGCATAACTAGGAAATATTGCAGATTTGCTTCCAGACCAACCAAAAGAAAAGTGAGTATTGCAATAGAGGCAGTCAAGTGAATTTTTTGATTGCCCAGTGCATATAAGTTATCTTCACACTATACACTATAGTTTACCAAGTGTAAGAAAGCATTATCTCTAAATAAACAATGTATATAATACCTACCTTAATTTTAAAATACTTTATGCTAAAATATGCTAACCATCATCTGAGCTTTCAATGAGTCATAATCACTAATAATCACCAGAATAAATATAATGAAAAAGTCTGTGATATTGCAAGAATTACCAAAATGTGACACAGAGACACCAAGTGAGCAAATCCTGTTGGAAAATGGCACTGCAGACTTGCTCAATGCAGGGTTGCTACAAACATTCAATTTGACACACTGTACAAGTACAATAAAGCTAAGCACAATCAAATGAGATATGCCTTGTACCTCCTTCAAGACATAGTGAAAGATCCATCTCCATGTCTAATCTCTATTAACAGATTTATCATCACATTCTTAAATTTACATTATACTTACAGTGTACTGAACTCTCTATTTTATGTTTTCTGTCTTCCCAAGAAAGTCAAAACAGGAGAGACCATTCTTTACTATAAACACCACACACAAAGCACAGAACAATGCTGGGCACAAGGCAGAACTTTAATATATTTATGGCTTGCAACTTTAGTTAACATACATGAATTAGCTGGGTAAGAGAACAAAGTTAGTGGAAATTATGAAGACTAGTTTCCTAAAGCATTTCAAGGGTCTAAAAGCATATGAAACCAAAATAATCTTGTTACTAATGTGTAACTAGACATTATAGTCTCAAGAAAATGCTTAAATTAGTATAATTCTCTGTAAATGGTTGATTCCTCATCTTTCTATGTCTATAAATTTTAAAATATTTTTAAAAGCATACTGAATTATATGGAGAAATTATACAAATGAAGTTTACTAAATTTACTGAGAAAGGAGTATTTAAATAAAATATTTTATATAGCACATATCAAGTTCTAGACACCATTTAAACATAGCTTTAGCAGTTAAAATTAGACTAAATTTTATTAACTTTCCTATCAATTCAGAAATAAAAATATTTAGCACACTTTCAAAAATGATTAAACATAAAACTAGAGGAATATACTTCTAAATGTAAAGCAGGAATATTTGATATACACCAATTTATAAATTTTCCAAATATTGCCAAATGCTTGGTGTCTGTCAGAAGGAATAAGAACTGAAAACCAAAAAAAAAAAAAATTCAACAGTAAAATTTGAGCCACAAAATTCAATTTTAAAACACTAAAAGAGTCTCAAAACTGATGAAATTCTTTCATCTGTGAAGTGAATATTCAGACTAATACATACTTTTTAGAAAACATAGCACCATCCTGACATTTTTCTTTACATTCAATGAAACATCAACAGAGTAGAGGTCAAAACCTTTATTTGTTCACTGCTAGATTCCAAAATTGCTCCTAGGCAATCCTAGAAACTCAGAAGACTGGGGCTCTCAGGGTAGGCGAGATGTGGTTATGGTCTTCTCCACCTCACAGTCTGACAAATAGCACTGTATGCCCAACAACCGACCACAGGGTCATGAGTTTGTCCCCAGGTTGCCCAGGGGACTGGCATGCAATCTGGTCTAAATAAATAAAAGCTAAATAGATGTACAGGGCAAGATCCTCAGTACTGGGAGGTTCTGGATAATCCCAGTTAAAATTTATACACCAGAGTTGCTTACTTTGTTAAAGACCCTTCTCAGAAACAGTCTCAGAGCAATAAAAGGAAAACTCAGATTCACTCTAAAATGCGTCATGTTTTCAATACATAAAATAAAGTCTACACTTTAGATAGTAACTTACACTTTTTGAGAAAAACATGGAAAGCCTTCAGCTAACTAAATTCACCACATGTACAAAAGCCATGTTTCCTTCAGAATCTACTGCAGAAACATCTACCAAACCTACAAAAGAAATCTGGGACTTGTTTTCGATACCTACACAGTTTCTGAGGTCAAAAATCCAGGAACCATCTTTGATTATGCTTTCCTTCAAATCTTTCACCTAATCTATCAACAACTGCTGTCAACTCTATACCCAAATAGATCCTAAATCCAACTATTTTCCACAATTTTAAGGAATCTTGATCCACTAGTACCTTCTTACTGGTACTACTGCAACAGCTTCTTAACTAGTGTCCTTGCCTCTATCCTAGCCTCCCTCCCACAATTCACTTAGCGTTTTTTTAAAGCATAAAACCAGATCATATCACTTACTTGTTAAACCATCTGGTTTTCCCACTACAAATAAAAAAAAATTCAAACTTTACCTCAGTTGGTAAGACTATACTCCCCCTACCCCCGACGTATCTGCCCTATTTTCACACTGGACAACTTTTTGGCCCTTAAATTTTCCAAGTGTGTTCCCAGGCTTTGCAGCTGTGGAGTTCCTTCTACATCTTCTTGGCCCAGGTCTTCCTTACATTATCCCTTTCTCATAATTCAAGTCTTAGCTCAATTTTACCCTTTTAAAATAGGTCTAACTGCCTTAGCTAAATTTACCCCTGCAGCCCTGCCCACACCCACAGTGACCCTATGTCACTATTTCATTTACTTCATAGCATTTAGTATTTTTAAATCTTTTTCTGTCCCACAGGGTCATTGCCTACCTTCCCTCATCACAAGTGACTTGGTCCATCTTTCACAGCTGTATCTCCAATACCTAATCAATAGGTATTACCAAGAGCAGTGTCTGGCATACAGTCACAGCTTATTAATATTTTTAATCAACTGATTTATACCGTAACTATATAAAAATAAACATAGTCTTTTTCCTCACGCTTTTTCCTCCTATTTTCACTCCCACTTTGCTCCTTTTGATATTTTACAACGAAAGTAACTTTTAAATTTCTGTATTTTAACATTGCTACAGAGAAACAAAAGTATTTTCTCCAATTGATGTCCTCCTATGATTTTTCTATTCTTACATGTAAATTTAGAAGCCCTATAACTACCTGTATCTTAACATCCAAAAAGAAATTTACTATCTTTTGCCAATACTTGCTTCTTGTTTCCTGCCTCAGCAAACAGCATCACCATTATGACAGACATTGCCAGCTATCTTCTGAAATTTGTTCTTTCTTCATTGGTAGCTGCCTACCTCCACATTTCCCACTCTCACTGCAGCCAGGTGTGGTCATATGGCCGAGTTCCCACCAAGGGAGCATGAACATATGTAATATGGGCTGTTGCTAGGTCTACCTCTTAACACTCCCTCTTCCTCTTTTCTAGCTTCTGGCTGACAAAGTTGACAACGGCCTTAGAAGGCATACGAAGAAGATGGCAGATCCTCCAACCTGGATTCCTGAAGGACTGTATGAAGCAGTCACGACCTGATCTAATGATAAAGTTAAAAATTCTTAACTGTGCAACAAGGTATGCAACAACCACTTTGGATTATTAAAGGAGTAATACATACAAATTTCTTATCATTTAACCCACTGAATTTTGAGGTTCTCTTTAACAGTTTAGCTTAGCTTAATTGAAAAACCATTTATCCAGATGCTTTAAGCAGCAATCATACAGTAGAGGTGGAGGCAGAGATGTGTCCAACAACACGTATCAAAAAATCAAGTTATAACTCAGAATTGTAATTCATCTCTGTTTCTCCAACACCAAGCCTATTCCCTAGTTCTAGCCATAATCATCTGACCTCGTTTACTACAACAGCTTTCTAGCTGATTGCCCTTACTTCTAGACTTAGAAGGTCCATCTATTTTCCAAAGTACAAAGTGATAGGATAAAAAAACGTCAGTGTGTTACACCTATAATATACATTGTTGCCTTCCAGAGAATATCCACACAAAGCCTATGAAATTCTTTATTACTTGGTTCTTGCTCCAACCACACTGAACACTGAACCATCAGTTCCCTGAAAGACTAAAGAAAGGCTCATTTTCTAGAGCTAGGAGGTAAAACCAGGGAGAGAACAGAGCTGGCAAGAAAATTTTCAAGAAGACAGTGGTGCTGTAATGATGTTTTAAATGTTTTAATACACATTTTAAATAATATTTTTAATCAACTAGTTTTTAACAATCTTTTAGAAGTTAACATTAACAAAAGACAATCAGAATAATTGTTTTATTAAATTCCAAAAACTCCTGATGATCAAAAAATTTTGCAAAATAGGTGCCATGCCTCATTTTCTACTTTAATGTCTAATGAGAAAGAAGCAAACATCGAGAAAGTATGCAGACTGACAGACTTTAGTCATAAAAGCAAATGCCAAGGTAGTTGGAGTTAGCAAGGAAGATAACCAATTTCCAAGCACCCAATTCAATAACTGTTTAAAGTATTATCAGAAGAATATCCCATTTTATTATTAGGGTGCTGTGTTTACAAATGTAAAAGACAAAAGTAAAAGGCACTGAAACTATGTTTTGAAACTAGGACATTAAAATCCTAAGAAAAATAAAGTACTGTTATAACATGAAAATAGATTATCCAAGGTTAGACAAATAAAATGAAAATCCAGAATCCCCCAAAACAGGTATTTTGAACTTGGTCTACTAGGTTTGGTTACCCATTGTCAACATCCTGAAGATAGTCCTGTTTACATCACAAAGAGAGAACACAGTGATGCAACACCACATATGCTTTGTTTTATTTTCATTGATTTTTAAAAAATTACATTCTTGAGATGTCTATCTAGTCTTTTCACAAAAAGCAAACTGACTCCTACTGAAAAACAAACAGAACTGAAAAACATACAATCAGGTCCCTAGGTTTTACGAAATAGATTGATATACTTCAGAAAGGAAAATCTAAAAACAGAAAATGAACTATCCGAACTTATTCCCTTTATTACAGTTAAACTCTAAGCTATGAATTCCATAACCTAGCGAAACATAGACACACACACACACAATCCCTCTGCCTTTAAATGAGAAAAACACAATAATTCCAGTAAGTTCTTGCTCTCAGATGGCTAGAAACTAAACTTTATAAAGACCTTGAAATAATGGTCTCAACATTAAATATTCTAAATTTCAGTTTCTATTGAGTATCTTCATCTGTAAATCTCACTAACAGTTTTTGAAAAGAACAGACACTATTTCTTTGTCCACTAGGGAAGTACAACCTAAAATGAAACTAAAAAAACCACTTTCTTTGTTTTTTTCCCTAAACCTTTAACCTAATGTGTTAAATATATTAAATAAATGTGTTTAATGAAGATATTAAAATGTGAACTCCTCAGAATTGTAATTAATAAAATTTCATGTGAAATCTCAGCTAATTTTAAATATTTGATGTTATCAAAATATTTCTCATTTTAGACTTCTCATAAGATACTGAAGTTTAAGGGAGATTGAGAAAAGGAAATATCTTGTTAATGCTAAATAACTTGCTAACCTGCTAGAAGACTAAATGAGCATACTTAATTTGGCAAAAATAAAATATTACATTTAAAGGGCAAGTGAGGAAATACAATAAAATTCAGCAGACTATTTGCTACAACACAACTCTAAAAAACTGCCATCAGTCTAACATTAACTCCAAAGCAGACTTTAGAGGCCTATAGGGCTCTCCAATTAGAAGATACTTTTAGGTAATAAGGTTGTATCCAGAGTCTTACCAGGGAATTACTCCAGTATAATGAAAATAAACAGCCTTTCTGTCAAAAGATTCAAGTGTAATTCTAAGTTCTACTACTAATTGTGTGACCTTGGAAATACAGTTAAATGTTATAAACTTCAATTTCTTTACCTTTCAAATGTATTTAAGAATAATGATATCTATATCACTCATCTCAGAGGACTACCTTCCCTGAAAATAACTCTTGTGAGGGGACTATTTATAATAAGTACCATGCACAAATGCTAGTTAAGTTTGTTCCTTCTTTATAAACAACAAACATTTACTGAAACTCTGAGCTAGGTGCTGTACTGACTGAGCATTAATGGATGGCTGGAGCAAACAAACAGCCAACTAACCATGGTTGTAGCTGTTTGGAGCCTTTAAGTCTGGTAATAACACAGATACAACTTACAACAATGTAGTCTCTAAGTACTACATAAAATAGTAATGTACTCCGGATGCACAAAGGAAAATGTGCCCAGTGTTGCCTGTTGAATTCAGGACACATTTCAAAGGAGGTAATGCCCAACTGCATATTGACGGAGAAAAACAAATTTGTCATACTGAGATAATGGGAAGTTTAATTCCATAAAGAAGGAAACAACCTCTGCAGATTCACAGAGGTACTCAAGAGCTCAAGTTTGTTAGGACATTTGCAAATAGTTCAAACACTGCTATTACCTGGCAGTAGGGGTTGGTAGTTGATAGAATGGCAGGAGAAAAGGATGTTAGTGAGAAAGACCAGAAGCAGGAAAACAACTGAAATTCTATTTATAATGGTCTGTATGAGACATACATATACAGGAGAGTGGCTGGATACCTTTAACTAAAATAGCAAATAAAAGAAAAGGAACAGACTTTTTCTGGGGAATGTGAAGAGAGGTTTTGTAATAAAATGCATAATTTAAGGTACCTAGGTGGAGGTGTCCAGTAAACACACAAGCTAACATATCAGAAGAAAGATCAAGGCTTGAAATTTACATTTGTAAATCTTCAGTATTAAGGGACTGGATGAGATTCCCACTACATTAAGAGGGGGAAAACTGTACCCTAAAGAAGTAAACTGCTTTTCCCATTTTATATGCTTAAAAATGTAAGCTACTCCATTAGGGCCAAAGGAAGTATAATTTAATCTTGATTTTACAGTCAAGTCAGTGTTCTAATTGAGATTTATCTTCCTGAAGCTTGTTTAGTCACATTATTTATTATTACTCATATGTTATTACTGATCTTTTATTATCACGGTTCTAACATTGTTTGGGGTCTCTCAGAAGTTCCACTGTAGTACTTAAGAGTCCCCAAAGCTCCCTGCATTCAACTGTATCAGGAAGGTCCTCCAAAACAGAATGAACTTCTCCCAGATCAGAATTAATCAAATAGTTACTGCAAATGTGGTTTATGTTTTAGGACATATAAAACACTAACGTTTAAAATATGGTCCCTGTCTTTAAAATGACTACAATTCTCACTCGAGTAAAAAGACAAGAACACAATTAATAAGACCAAGCATTAAGGAGGTAATTTTAATCCTGAATATAGGATCTCCTAGTCCTTGGAAGAGCAACAAGAATACGTGTTCTCTCTCCCAAAACACCTGTATAGCTTTGGGAAAATTGTTTTGCTTTTAATGGCAATTTTATGAAGGGCCACTAGATGGCAATACTGCACTCAAAAATGATTAAGATACTATTTGATCATTTTCATCACAGTAACTTTTAGAACCATGACAGGTTATGTTTTTCAAGACCCTGTAAGTAAGGATTTTAGAGACTTTAAATCCCTCATCTGAAAGTTGAGAATAATGAGATAAATAGAGATTAAGTGACTTGCCTAAGATGCTACTACTAGTTAAATGGCAATAGCAGGACTACAGCCAAAATTTCCTGATTTAGACCTAAGGTTTTATGTTCTTTGCATTAAAAAACTGTATCAAGTTATAGTTTCTTCTCTAAAAAATAAAATTAATTTCAACTTACGTGGAAAGCATACTTTTTTCATACAGGACAGTCACATAAGGAGAAAAAGATATTCCATCATTTGGGTAAGCACTGAAGCAATGACTTGGTAAAATAAAAACTCAGATGAGGGTATTATCATTGCAGCTAGAAGTCTTACGAAAAGTTGGGATTTAAGACAGCTACTGAAAAAACTGAACAGGTGTAACAGAGGCAAAAACCTCTTGTTCTCAAGTTCTGTATTTCCCAAGGCCAAGTGGGACAAAGTATCAATACTAATGTTCAAAATGAAAAGTGATTCATCAAGTGTAAAGAAATAATATTCCCCCTAATTTTAACCTGGTGGTTCTCCTTTCTTCTATTGCAGCACATATGATGGAGGAGATCCACATTGGTCACACACACCCCCAACGTTTGGTTCCCGTGTACTAGGTGTAAACTCCATCCAGTTTTCCTCGAATTCAAATAAGATATCCAAAATCAAATGAGATGTAATGATAAGCTGAAATATACTGTATTTCTGAAACAAAAAAAAAACCCTAGCAATAATTTCTGGAACATTTCAGTTATTCTTTGTGTAATAGCTTATTACTTAGAAAATACTTCAAAGTGGCAACACTTGGATGAGTGCACTATGGTAAAGGCTTACCTTTATGCTTGTAACAAAAAAATATGAATGGAAAATCATTTGCTGTATGAAAAATTGGGAACAATACATTAAATCTGCTGAACACAAACTTCAGTATGTTACTAAAATTTACTGGAACAATACCTGTATTTTAAAGTCATTCCATTAAATTAAGCCTACCTCTCTGATTTTAAGGAAATAAGAATCATTCAAATCTGAAGAGAAGTTTAAAGGAGTACATAAACCTCTAAAGTTGTGCTTGTAAAACAAAATACTACACCAAGTTTTTATCTTATTATAAATTTGGTTAAGCAGAAAAATTCAGTATTCAATTCAGTATTCATTACTGAACAATACAAAGTTATAGAATTTTATACTTCCTACTTCTGTAAGCTCAAAATTCCTATGTCAGTTCAGAGAGGCAATGGAGACCACGGCTCAGAGAGTGAACACACCACAACCCTGACACTCCACTGAAACCCAACATTTCATTTTAAAAGGAAAAGTTAATGGGAAAATGGATTTTGGTATGTAAAACTTGGCTTTACAGCCCATTTTCTATTCCAGTGTGAATAAATTACCTGCATTAAAAAATCTATGAGATGGAAAATAGTATTTTAGTTTTTCTCTATCTCCACTAAAACCCAACATGAAAACCAGAAAAGGATTTATGTAAGGGTGACAGACACATACTTGTAGTAAGAAAGGAGGATCGAACCACAGTTAAATCTCAATTAACCAGCTAAGCAAACAATTCCTAAGTAAGCAGAATATTCCCCCAAAAAACAGTCACTGAAGTTTAGTCCTTCAAAAAACATACAAGTTTTGGATTAAAAACATATTTGGACCCATTTATTTTTTCTTTCAATTTTTATCAAGAGCCACTATTACATATGATGGAAAGAATAAAAAGTTAGGAGTTGGAAACCTTGATCTATATACTTTGATTCTGCCAATAAATATTTTTGATCTTTAAAGTCACTCAGTCTTTTCTAGGTCTCTGTTTTCTCAAATGCAAAAATGAGGGCTACAGCTTTTCAGCTCTAGAAGTTTTAAACTTAAAAAAAAAACCCAGACAACCTTTTCTTAAAATATTAATCAAAAGTGTAGTACATAAAACAAAGATCCAGGGAACTGGAGCTCTGTATATAACCACCCATCTACATCACAGTTTCTGAGGGGTTTAATGAATTCAGTAGATCCAAAATACCATTTAAAAACTCTAAACACTAAACAGTGAAAACAATTTTCAGATGCAATTCACAGGTATTGCAAGAATAAAAAGTAAAAAATAAAAGATTTTTTTACCCCATAAAAAATTCAAACTGAAGAGGACTTTTTTCAACTAACCAGAAACTGGCAAAGATTCAGTGAAAGCAAATGCCTATTTCTAAGAATTCTAATTAACTGATATTTCATTACAGTTATAGTTACACTAAAGAAAGTACAGAATTGCCATAAATGAAGAATTTCAGAATTACAGAAATGTGTGTGTGTGTGTGTGTGTGTGTGTGTGTGTGTGTGTGTGTGTATCTGAAAATAAAGAAACAACGTTGTCTGACGGGAAAGGAATGGGCTTAACTAGAGATACATCAAACCCAGTTAATTCCACAATTTATTACATAAAATCCACTACTTTACAAACTATTTCATTTTGAAATTCCATATTTGGTTCTAGTAAGACAAGTCATATTTCACTACCACCAGACATAAAAGGAGACAAATGGGATACACACACCAACTTTACCAGAGAAGTTATACACTGACATTCCTCACAACGGTTTGTTTAAAACAAGCAAAGACATCTGTAGACATAACTTTAAAAGAAAAAAGAACTCCAAAATAATAGTTAAAACAAAGTTTCTAAGTTTAAACATGCAATATAAAAAAGCATACATTAAAGTATTTCACTAATCACAAAAAAAATTTGAATGTGTGGATCTGCATTAGAAATGTAAGCATGAGTTTTTTAAAAATTCCTATGTTTACTTGAGATACATTTAAAATGGTACTTTTTAAAATTATATTTATCTCTTAGGTGTTAAAAAATGAAGTATTTTTAAATTGAGATAAATGTATCAAATTTTACACTTAGACTAATCAACCTACTGTGGTATAAAATTTCGTATTTAATGTATTTCACCATGAGAACTAAATTTCTCTTTTGTTAAAAATATAATCAATCAGGTGTTATTAGTATAGCTTCTAAAAATGGTCTCTAATGTCTACAACATTCATTTGAAAGTACTCTTACCTTTCTTCTGAGCTATACAACCGAGCAAGCCCAAAATCTGCAAGTTTTATCTGCCCTCTGGTGGAAGTAAGACAAAATGAACAAAAGATATTAGTCTACTCTGAATTGATCATATACATTCATATTCTATTCCTAAAAGTAGTAAAAAAAATACACATATAAACTCTATGTGTTTGATTACACTACAGTACCCAAGGTCCTACAAGGAAAGGCAAATAAATTCAAAACAAGGTAAGTAAGGTAAAAACTTAATACTTTCCTTTGGATAATTTTAGCTATATTATATTACTACTACTACTACTACTACTACTACTACTACTACTACTACTACTACTACTACTACTACTACTACTGTAACAGTACTAGTATAAAAGTATTTCAGGACTATCCAGTTCCTATTTAGACAATTAAACTTCGATGAAAATAAAACAAAATGAGATAATTTCTACTACTTAGTAATAAAACAAATTACTTGTTCAAGTCAGTAATGTGCAAGAACTAAATCACATCATTTGAAATTTATGTTCAACTGTTCAGTTCTTAGAGGGACGAACTGCATAAAATACTTTCTACTAACTAAAATCAGGACCAGGCGTGCCTCAGTTAAACTAACAGTACAAATTACAACAGAATTATCAGAGTTCAGGTTATGCTGTCAGAAAAAAATTTAACGAAAGATATATTATATATATACACACATATGTATATGTGTGCGTATATACAGGCACTTCAAAAAAGTTCATTTTAAAATTGTGAAGACTGCTTTTTAATCTAAAGCTGAAATCATATTAATTAGAAGACCTAGTCACATTATTCCGAAGACTATCAAACAAGAAAGTCAACTAAGTATTATTTGATGTATATTATAAACTATTATTGTTAACACAACTTCAGATGTACAAACTGTAATACTGTTTGTTGATTATGTTAAAATAGTTTGAGCAATAAAACAAATATTAAATCCTTTGAACAGAATCAAGGTATACATTACATAATATTCATTTTAAACATTTATATCAAACTCATATCATACCTATTATTTAGAAGAATATTTGAACATTTAATATCTCTATGCAAAAAGTTCTTCTTATGACAATAATCCAGACCTTCCATGAGCTGTCTCATAAAGGACTTTATGTGATTTTCATTAAAATGAACCAAGCCTGATTCCAGTAGTCCCATCAGATCATGGTCCATATATTCAAACACCAGATAAAATGCACCTAGGGACAAGAATAATTAGTTCATTAAAGATTTTTATTCTTACAACCTTCCCATAAGTTCAGAATTTTTAAAAATAGAATTCTGGGGAGAAAATTAATCCTTGAAAATAAGAGCTACTTTGTCACTTTAGTAATCTGCATCTTGTTATCTGAATTTAATATCAATAAATACATCCCAAGGAAACATCCAAGCCAGTTTTTTTTCTCCTGAAGAAAACTCTTCTGATATAAAATCAACTCTTATTTCCACGCTGCAGAGTTCCTGGGTGTGATTAATGTAAAATAAATTCTTAATTTTTTTTACATATCGAACAAACTCAGCAGAGGCTGAATAAAATTGGTATAGCTCATCAAAGAAATTTTAGAGGTGTTAAAACAGTTGGTTTTAATAAAAAAAGGATAGATTCAACTGTAGTTTTGATAGCTTCTATTAAGCCTTCAAAGAAGATATAATTTGTTTATACAGCTACAGAGTGTTTGAAAGCATGTTACTTTACCTTATAAAACCAGCTTAATCCTGCTACCAAAACCTAATGTAGCATACAGCACATACACAACTGTATGTACTAAAGATTCAAAATTCCTAAAATGAAACTTGCACAAATTGAATCCAAATTATATTTAAAAACATCCCAATCAGGCACAGTTTATCAATTCAAGAATGGAAATGCTAATAAAATTCAATGTATCAGTCTGTCAAAGAAAAAATGTTATCAATACACCCAAAAAGGCATCCGAAGAAAGTTCATGATTAGTTCCTAATTAAAAACAGAACAAATCTCAAAGTAACCTTGCAACAGAAGGATTCTTTCTTAAAAGTTTAAAATACAATAAGCATATTATAACGATATAACCATAACATAATAACCAAAACATAATAAAAAAAACTAACAACCAATGTCATGTTTGATAGTAAAAGTCCAGGTGTTATATTCAAGACAAAAATGTTATCACTAACTGATTCATAAGTTAGTAATTAAAGTTAAAGACAAAGTATAAATATTAAAAGAGATGAAAATATAATTATTGGCAGATGACTATCCTCCTGGAAAAGTCCAAAAGAATAAAAAGAAAAGTAGCTGGGTTAAAGAAAATCATATACAAAAGGCAAAAGACTTCAAATATTCCAGCAACAATTCACTGAAAATAAGATTTAAATGATACCACAATAGGAAAGGAATATAAAGAAATGATCAGAACTTTATAAGAATTATACATATCCATTAAGAAATACCAAATTTCTAAAGAAAGACATGGTATTAACAGAGGTGTGAGATAGACACTGTTAAATAGTGCCAGTAGCAAACTGGTATATTAACAAAATATAATTCGGCAATATGCATCAAAGCTTTAAAAAGTACATACCCTTTTATATAGCAAATTCATTTCTGGATATTTAGCATACGGAAATGAAGACTGAAAAGATTTAGCTATAAGCATGTTCACTAAAAGCAATGTAATAACAAAATACTTAAAACAAGCAAACAAAAAGAACTATGAGATATCCATACCATATCACTTTGAAAAATACTGTACAATACTGATGTGGAAATTTATTGATGATGCTGAGTTCAACAGATTTTCAAGTATTTTGTATTTGATACATCTCTCTCACTATCTTTAATGGTATTAAGTAAAATAGACAAAAGAAAATATTTAGAATTGTACAGTCCAATACAGTTACTACCAGCCACATAGCCACAGAACACTGAAATGGCCCCGTCCAAATGTGCTGGAAGTGTTAAACACTGAATTTCAAAAGCTTACTATAAGAAAATATAAAATATATTGATAATTTGTTATATTGATTACATATCAAAATGATCTATTTGATATGTTGGATTAAATGAAAATATTAAATTTAACAGACTGGCTTTTTTAATGAGGCTAATAGATCATTTTAAATTAAAATATAATGGTTTGTATTCTATTTCTATTAGACAGTACTGTATGAGAGGTGTAAGAATTGAAATAGGAGAGCTAAAACTACCTCTATGTGCAGAAGATATGATCTTTTGGTCTCTAAAGACATAAACTTCAATGAAAAAATAATTAAAAACAGTAAAACAATGTAGAAAAATAGCATAAACATACAGTGGCCATTAACATAACTACCAACTAAAAGACAAAGTAGAAGACTCAATTTATAGTAAATTATTTAAAATTTTTAAGATGTACAAAATCCTTCAGTGCTAATATAAAACACTTACATAGCAGAAAACTACACACACACAAAAAAGGATACAATCTTAGATAGGAAGACTCAACATGATAAAGATGTCAGTTTTCCCTAAGTAATTTATAAATTAAACACAAGCTCAATTTTTAAAAATACCTTGTTTTTTGTTTTTCCCTACAATTAAGTTGATGTTATATCTACATAGAAAAATAACTATGTAATAATAGCAATGAAAACACCTGAAAGAGAAAGGAGAGATGCGCACTACCAGATA